ATGGCGACAGAAGAAGCTTTAGCGCTGGCGGACTTGATCACTGTCGAGCACGATGTGGTCCCCTACATCATGGATTGGCCTCAGATTCCGGCCGACGATGGCAAGCCCGAAGCGGCCGTCCTTGTAGTGCTGAAGAGGCCGGGTGGATTTATGGCCGCAGTTCCTATTGGTTTCATGCCCGAAGAGGTTTTGGCCAACGGCAACATGGATCCCCGTCCTGGTGTGGTAGGGCCTTCAACAGTTTTGCGGCTTCCTGGTATGGTGATAGAAAATGGAGTTTTGACCCCCCACTGGATCTCTCATGTCGGTCGTTGTAATCGATCTGAACGAGAGTGTGATTGGGAACCTTCGACTCGTAGATGCCAGCGAGGCCTATCCCTTCACCCTCGACATCAAGCAGCCTTTTGCAATCCCTCATCCTCACTTGCTTATAACCTCGGCTCGGGAGTGGGCAGAGGCCAATGGGGAGACGTCACACAGGGCGTATTTTTCCGCAGACGGAGGCATCGCAGATGGAGCAGAGATGGAAGCAGGGGATTCAGCAGAAGACCCACCTGTGACACCAAGGCCAGCCGGCCGCATGCAGAAGAGCAAAGGTTCCTGCGCATGGGCCAGAGCGGCCTACACTTGGCGCAAAGCGGCCTACGGTCGCCACTTTGGCGTCCTCTATGGAGCAGCTGTTGATGATGAACCAAGGTTTCAGCAAGAACTTGGAGTCCCTCGCACAAAGGCAGATCGAGTTGGAGAAGAGAGTGGTGGCCCCTGCAGCAGCGACAGCCCCAAATGCAGCACTTCACCAGCCTATCTCCTCAGCACTGATGCCACAGATGTCAAGCCTTGGAACCATAGCACAGCAGCTTGGAACACCCCCAAGAACTCTTGCACCTTCAGCACCGGGTCTGTTAGGATCTCCTTTGGTGCGCCCCACGGATTTGCAGGAGTTGGAGGACGAGAAGAAAGAGGGCGTCCCCTCTTCCTCCTCAGATCCTCTTGCCCAAGCAGTACCAGCTCAATCGCAAGCCTTGACGGCGCTGGTGGCACAGATCGCCCAGCAGAGCAGCGATCCTCTTTTGGAGCTCAGCACTACGGGAGCTTCGGCTGGGACCAGAGGTGCGCAGGGCCGAGCTCGTTTACAAGCCGAGCTGGCAGCACAGAAGGGAACCTTTTTCAACTCAGTGCTAGCCGCCATGTCACGGAGGATGTGCCCTACCATGTCACCAGAGGGCAGCCCACAGGAGCTCATGGACAAGGGCATTTGTGGAACCCGCTACTTGGAAAGATTTGGTGGCTATGGCAAGGTGCGGGAACTGGGCTGTCTTCAGCATCAAGTGATGTCCATCATGGATTGCCTGCAGACTCAAAACTGGCAGGCGGCGAGGGATCAAACAGCTTTGTTGGCGGTCACTTTGGATCAAGCAGCCCTGGACTCTGGGAAGTTCGACCTGGCTCAACTTCTTTGTCTTCAAGAAGAACCTCCATCCACGGTGTTCACCAACCGACAGGGGAACATCCTGGGAACATCTTGGCCAAGACAAGAGCCTTCTCGCCCCTGGCAGATCAGAAATGGATCACAGTTGCATTGGCCTACATAAAGGAGCTGGACGTCATCACCTCGAAGCGCCTGGAACTGACCAGCCAAAGCAGGCAAGGAGTATTCGGCAGCAACTCCCAAGCCGAAACAAGCTCCGGCCAGCCCAAAGCAAAGCCGGCCCCAAAGAAGAAACAGAAGGGAGGAGGAAAAGGAAATCCATCCCACTCTGCAGAAGCCGACGAAGCCTAGAGCCTGGTGACTCAGGCAAACCTGAGGCAGAGATCTCTGGCAATCCTTTGCAGTCAAAGATTAGTTTCCTTCAGTGGGCTATCTGTCTGCCTCGTTGGATTTTGAGGTCAAAGACAAAGTTTTCTTACTGCCTTGCACGTTCTTTTGCTGTCTTGAGCCGTTCTGACAAAACGGCATCCACAGTTTTTCCATTGCCCTTGCCTTCTTTGGATTGCTTTGCGTGCAGTGGCCCTGGACTTTCTCACAGGCGCCTTTGGACTTTGGCCAAAACTCGTCTCCTGAACATTTGGATTTTGGTTCTGGATTTCATGTACTTGGGACGTTGGCCGTCGCTTGAAGAGCTCAGGAGGTCCCCTTGCGTGTGCTGTCTTGCGTGCGTTGGCCGTCGCTTGAAGAGCTTGGGACGTTGGCCGTCGCTTGCGTGCTGTCTTTGCTAGATTGCGGACTATGATTGCTGTGTGTGGTGACGCCCGGGAGCCTGTTTCCATGTGCCCTGGCCGAACCGGTCCTGAACTTGGTTCCCAACTGTTTCAGCTAGAGCGTTTCTGTGATGTCTGTCCTGATTTTGTCTCTGGCTACATGCAAGGGTTCAAACAGCCATTTGTTGCCGACCCTGGACTTTTGTCGGTGCACGAGCACCCGGAGTTGATGCCCTATCGCTCCTTGGATGTCAGTCGTTTGAGGCTTGTTGGTGAAGGTAAGTGGCCAATGGAATCCTTCTTGAATGGCCCACTTTGGCTACCTTTTCAAGAACCTGCTTTTCTCTGCCATGACATGGAGGTTCCTGTTGGTGCTGTCCCTAACTTTGCTGCCGAAAAGCCCGCCGAATGTTTGAAGCTTGCTCGTCTTTGGGATGTGCGTGGCTTGTTGCACCTCGAAGCGCAGCCGTTGAAGCCCGGGTATTTTTCTCGTGTTTTTAATGCCTACAAGGATCAGACCAGAGATCGGCAGATAGGTGACAGGAGACTTCCCAACTTGTCCGAGTTTCATGTGGACGGTCCTTCGAAGTTTTTGCCCCAGGGCCGATCCCTGGTGTATCTCCGATTGCCGAGGTTCACTCATTGCATTCGAGGGTCCATCACTGATAGGAGGGATTTTTACCATCAGGCAGCCGTGACAGAGGAAAGAGCTCGCACGAACATGCTCCCTTTTGCTTTCCGCTTGAAGACTTCCAAGCGTGCTCTGCGCTTATGGACTTCAAGGCGCGTTCTGTGTCAAAGCCTTCTGTCCGGCGAGAGGTCATTGGAGATCGTTTGTGCCTGCCTTCCAGACCAAAGACTTCATGTGCTTTGCCTGAGGTTGTTTATCCTTGTTTTAGATCCTTGTTTCAGGGTGATCACTTGGGGGTCGAGTTTGCTCTAAGGAGTCATGAGCAGTTGCTTCAGGATGCTGGCCTTTTGCATGATGATAGACGCATCCAAGGAAACAGACCTTTTCCCCTTGGTACGCAGTTTGAGGCTCTGGTCATTGATGACTATTTTTGTCTTGGCGTTGAGCGTTTGGCTAGTGACCCTGACAACGGATTTTCCACTGCGGCTTTGGACTTAGCCCGACAAAGTTACCATGCCAGTGGACCTTTAGGATCTCCTGAGAAAGATGTTTGTGCAGCCTCGACTTTGAAGGCGGCAGGCGCTGAGATCAGATCCTGTGAAGCCAATGTCAGGAGTTGTTTTGTACCGGTTGCAGCTCCTTTTCACAAGCGCTTGGCCCTGTCAATGTTGTCGCTGCGGACCTCAGCTCTTTCAGGTGTCACTGCTGGACTTTTCGCGCGTTTGTTGTTAAATTGGGTCAGTGTGCTAAAATTTAGGAAGGTCTGGTCTTCCCTTGTTGATGAGGCGTTTGCCTTCGGTGCCCTGTGCCAAGAAGATCCTTCACAGATCTTCAAAATGCCCAGGAAAGTTGCACAGGAGTCACAGGAGATTTGTATGCTGGCCTCGGTTTCTCCCTTGATCGTTTCCAACATCATTGCTGTGGATTACCTTGGTGAAGTTTTTGCTTCGGACGCCTCATCGTCAAAGGGGGCTATCATCCAGGCTCCTATTTCCACTGTCACGGAAACTGTGCTTTGGTTGGACTCTGATCAGAAACCTGGCTACGTGACTTTGGATAACACTTTTCGTGCGGTTTTGCGTGGGCTTGGTGAATTTGATGAGGGGGAGAGCCTCCCTCAGGTACCCGAATCGGCAGAAGGACCTTTCAAAGCTCCCCTCATCCTCATGTACTATGACTTTGTTGAGATTTGCGGAGGGGCAGGAAAGATCACCTCAGCAATGGCCTCTTTTGGTTTTGTCTGTGCCCCGGTGTTGGACTTGTCGGCCTCACGTCACTATGATCTTGCCTCCTTGCGGCTGTTGGAGTGGATCATTTACATGATCGAAGGCAACAGGTTCAAGAGCTTCTTTGTTGAGCCACCCTGCACCATCTTCAGTCCAGCTGTTCGGTCCTACCGTGAGCCCTTGGGTTTTGACCGTCTCAATCCTAAGACCTTGCATGGGAACGTCTTGGCCTTCAGAGCTTTGGTTTTGTTGAGGGTTGGAAGACGCTGTGGCCGGCCTTGTGGACTTGAACATCGTAGGCTGTCAAAGATGTGCTGGCTCACTTTCTGGAAGACGCTTCTCTCTTGTGGGTTTTCTGAAGCCGATATTACCTTCTGGACACTGGTTTTCTGGACGTGAGATGCAGTGGAGGTCACTCTCATGTGCGCATTGAGGGGGCCTACACAAAGCCTTCAGCAACTTACACTGACGGTGTTGCCCTGCACATTGCAGAAGCCTTTCGAAGAGCCCTGCGTTTGCTTGCGGCGCGTGAATGTTTGGAGCCTGCTGTTCTTGGTCATGAGTCGGTCTTGGCAAATGATGTGATGATTACCTCAAAATGGAATTTGGTGAGGGATTGGTTTTGGAAGAGATCTGGCCACATCAATGTCCTTGAGACTTCTGCTGCTGTGTCCAATTTGGTTTCTCTCGCTTCCCGACGCTCCTCTGTGCGGTTTTGTCACTTGGTTGATTCTGCGGTCGCACGTGGGGCCTTGACCAAGGGTAGATCGCCCTCCCGAGCTTTGCAGCCCTTGATGAGAAAAGCAGGCGCTGTGTGTATCTGTGCTGACCTCTACCCTGCTTGGGGCTACTCACCTACTCGCTTGAATGTCGCAGATGACCCTACCAGATGCCGTCAACTGCGGGCTGCATCCAAGCTGTCTTTGGTCAAGTTCGGCTGTAGGTGGGATCTCCTGAGGAGTGACGGCTTGAGGGGCCTTCGAAGGTTTGCTGCAAATTGGGTACGGTTGGTCCTGTTGGCCTCTCTCTGTTCTAGTCATGCCGAAGCCTTTTCTTTTGGCTATGGAGGTGATCTGAAAAGCTTGCCCGGTGAACTCCTTGTCAGTGGCGATGTTGGATTTCTGCATGTTTTGCAACACTCCATCTCAAAGGCCTCCAATGGACTTCTCGTCTTCGGTCATGGATTTGCCTGCCTTCCCACTTGGATTTTTGCCGTGGGGCTCTTGACTTGCTGGCTTGTTGGGTTCCGTCTCTGTGTAGGCCAGCGTGCACATGGTAAAACTAATAAACCCCCCAAAGGTTTAATCCCCCGTAGGTGCGGCCTAACATGGGCCGTCGTTTTCGCCATGGTTTTCTGCCTGAGGGAAGTTGCTGGAGCACCGATAGCCCCTTGCACAAAAGCTGACAGAGACAGGGTACTGCAGAGGGCCGGCACTGCAATCATTTCTACACGAGCTGTAAGGGAACAGACACGAGACAAACGCAGACAGTATCTGGACAGGTTTCGCAGCTGAGAAAGGTGTTTCCCTCAAGTACCTTTTGGAAGTGAAGCCGCCTGACCCAGAACGCATATCAAACCTTTTGATTGACTATGGGAGGGCTTTGTATGCTGGGGGAAAGAGCTATGGCATTTTCTCAGAGACGAAAATTGCAATAGCAGTCGAGAGGCCGTTGATCAGGAGGCAGCTCAATGGTGCATGGGACCTGGCGTTTGCATGGTTGTCGGACGAACCGGCACATCACCATCCAGCCATGCCTCTTACGGTCCTTGCTGCTATGGTTACGACGGCTCCCATGTGGGGTTGGCCACATGAAGCGGCAGTTTTGCCCATTGACTGGACGGGCATTATGCGTATTGGCGAAGTTTTGGCAGCAACAAGATCGGAGCTGATTCTTCCTTGTGACTCGGCTCCCGGCACCACCTTCGCCCTTGTTGTCGTTAGACAGCCGAAGACACGGGGCAGGTCGGCTCGCCATCAAGCAGCCAGAATCGACCAAGCTGATGTCATCCAGTTTTTGACACAGATGTATGCACGAGCTGACAGCACAGAACGTCTCTGGCCATACTCAGCATCTACTTTGCGGAAAAGATTATCTCAGCTGCTTGGTGCACTCAATCTGCCTGACAAGCGGTGTGCAGAGCACCGCCCTTTTGACCTTGGCTCCCTTAGACCAGGAGGAGCGACATGGTTGCTGCATCGTACAGAGCAGCCTGAGCTGGTTCGCCGTCGGGGACGGTGGTTGAGTGCGCGCACAATGGAGATTTATCTGCAAGAAGTTTTGGTTACCACTTTCGAGGAGAAGATCAGTCCAAAAACCAGGGCCCTAATTCATTTGTGTGCTGGTGGATATGCTGTTACACTCGAGCGCATCATGGTTTTTCTCGAGTGTGGCATCCCACCAGTTGCATGGTACTATCTACTCAGAGGTGCAGATGGCTTTGAGCGAGACATCCGAAAGAATGGTGATGATGGTGAAAAATCCACCTCTCATGCCAACAACTACCGGCAGGGAGCTCATACTACTTCCAGTCAAGGCGGCAAAAAGGAAGAGCGGCTACCTGACTTCAGGTTGCCAATTGGACGTTGCCGGGGTTCAAACCCCCACCCATGCACAGCACCCATCCCTTTCTGCACCTCTGAGTGGTGAAAAATCGACCTCTCATGCCAACAACTACCGGCAGAGAGCTCATACTACTTCCAGTCAAGGCGGCAAAAAGGAAGAGCGGCTACCTAACTAGTAGCGGTTGTGTTCCTATAATGACGTTAACTAACCCCACTGAATTGGTACATGATGAAAAACATTTTAGCAACGTTGATCATCAACATTTGGACTGGTGGTTTTGGTGATTTGAATTTGGTGGTTCTAAGTGATGCTTTTTGGTTCTAGGTTCTAAGTGATGCGGTGGTCCTAAGTGATCCAAATCTTGTGGTTTTAAGTGAGCCGCCTACCATGTCACGGATCAAGTGTAGTATTTGTTCATATCCTGAAACGCTTGTATTTCAAGCAAAAATTGCAATTTGGAAATTTGAACTTAAGTTAATCGACTTCCTCGTCTACCATTTTTATGATGTCCTCATTTTTTTGCCACACCCAAAACCTGAAGAACAAACCTCAACTACGACCGCTGTGTGACAAAAAGGTTTCAGCCGAGCGAAGGATTTTCATTGGACTTTTTAGTTTCAGTTGTGCAATTTTGTTTGGAACCTTTGCTTGCTGTGGCCACCGGTCTTCAAAAACTTAAAAAAAATTGTGCATGTCACTTGAGACAAAACCTTATGAATGCAAATGCATGTTATCAAACATGCAACGTTCCTCTCAAGGGAGGGTGGGCGGGTTTCGTCACCTTTTTGACTTTCGAGAGCCATGGGAGATAGGGTCTGTAACACACCTCCATTGATTGCTTGGAACAGTTACAGCGATAAGGCCTTGCTCGAGACGCTGCAGGAAGTCACATCAGTTTTGCACAATCGAACTTGTGCTCAGGGAAATTTGCATCCTGCCGCTGATTCAAGTGGCGCTCCTGCAAGCTCAGTCAGTGGAACTACGCCTGTTGTGAACGAACAGGGATTACAGAAACCCTGGTCTTGTGGGTTTACTTGCAGGTGGTGTGCAAGCGCCTGCACCCGCAGAGAAGGGCATAGTTTCCACTCCTGTTACGAGCACAGGCATCGAAGATGAGAAAGCGCTGGAGAGAGCGATTTTCAAGGAACAGAGCAACAGATGAGGACAGCCCTACATCAATGCCAGTCAGCGTTCCAGATGCTGAGGAGCTGTCCGATGCCGAGGGTGATGCCATGGCAATGCAACATGATCTGTTTGGAGGCAGTTTTGATTTTGATTTTTTGGATGATACAAAAGTTTTCACTGGGGCTGGTAGTGCAACAGGTGAGCAACATGGTTTTCCACCCAGACCACCGCAGCTGCCTTTCATGCATGATGAACCAGACAGCCGTTTGAAGTTTGTGGACAAGGGTTCAGGACTTTCTCATGATCAACCAGCCAAATTTGAGAAGGTGGCAACTGCAGTGCCGTTGACAGTGGTTTCAGCAGCTGTCAGATTGACTGACAAGAAGCCCATTCTCTTTCCGTGGGAGAAAGGAAGACTCGGTCGCATCTTTGGTGATCAAGGTCGTCTGAGTTTGAAACAACCCAAACTGCATGCTGGTTCAAACAACTTTGTACAAGTTGGTGTGGGCATTTCAGATGGGTTCAAGCTGGATGGTTCGGTTTCTGTGCAACCCGCAACATGTGACAAGGCTATTTACAGGTCGGTAGTCAAACACATTGTGGGCTGCACATACATGGAAGAGCGCGCAGCTCAGCGTGAACATGCAATTCGACAGTGGTGGGATTTGCTCCGCCTCAACCTATCAATGAGCGATCCAGGCAGAGCGGCAGTCCATGAGAAGGGTCTGTCAGACATTTTCAGATATGGTCTTGAGTTGCTTGACGCTGTGTTCGCTTTGAAAAGCCCCGGTACACTGATGAAAAGATTGTGTGCCATCAAACTTTTCAACCAGTGGATCATACGCAACTACACCGAGACCTGGCTACCTCTCCAAGAACGACATGTCTGGAGCTACATCAGGTTTCTACGTGAATCCAAAGCTCCAGCCTCGAGGGCGGTTAGCCTTCTGGAGTCAATTCGATTCTGCCATCATATGCTGAAGGTGGACGGGTCATTGGAAATTCTGGAGAGCTTGCGTGTGAGAGGCTTGGCATCACAGCTCTTTGCACACAAGAAGCCGTGGAGACCGTCCGACGTCCTGACCGTGAATGATGTGGAGTTCCTGCATCACAGCTTTATGGATTCCACAAAGAGTGACATTGATCGGGTCTTTATTGGGCACCTTCTGCATATGCTGTATGCCAGGGCCAGGTTCAGTGACCTACTGGCCGTGACAGATTTGTTCTTGGACTCCGAGGACGCCTTTCTGGAGGTGAATGCTGCTCTGCACAAAGGTGCCCGTAGCCTGGATGCAAAATCGAAATTGCTGCCAATTGTAGCACCTGCTGTGGGAATCAATGGTGAGAACTGGGCAAAGATGTATCTTGAACTTCGTCGACTGGTTGGCCTGCGCAATCCGAAAGAGGAGCCAGTTCCTATGTTGTTGGCTCCCAACAAAGGAGTGCAAGGATGGAACGAGCGATACATCACTTCCCAGGAACTCAACCATTTCATCAAGCGGCTTTTCATGTCAAGCGGAAGACCCATTGCTGGCAGAAAAATCACGACCCACTCGATGAAAGCTACAACGCTTTCCTGGTGTGCCAAGCTTGGTGTTCCAGAAGAACACAGAGCCATTCTTGCCAGGCATGCGAAAAGTGTACAAGGTGCAACCGTTTTGTATTCCCGTGATTTGATCACCAGTGCCCTGCGCTCGCTGACAGGGGTGCTCACCTCAATCAAGGACAAGGGTTTTCATCCAGATAAGACAAGGTCTGGGATGATTACACCCGCAGCAGCAACACCGGCAGGCGCACCAGTGACGCCCTTCAACATTGCAGTTCCGGTGACAGCTGGGAATCAAGCCGTGCATGGAGCTCAAGCCAACGCAGCTCAAGACATTGCTGGTGATGCTGGCCCTGATACGAAATCAGATGGTGGGACGGCGGAAGATGCGGCAGGAGCACAGAGCCCAAGTGGCATGGCGTGGGATGGAGGCTCGGTTGGGTATTCGCCAGGCACTCCGTTACAATGCATCCCTGTCAAAGAGGAGTTCACTTGGCCTGACAGCAGCTGGGATGGCTCAGTGATTGACCTTGAAGAGCAGCATGATCTCTTGCGAGATTGGCACTCTGGATCTGAAGAAGAATCCAGTGGGTGCTCCGAGTCAGACGACAGCGATGACTATGTCTGGGAGGAGTCACCGAAGGAGAAGACAAGCTCCTCCAGAGGGCCATCTCTAGTGCCAAAGTAGTACATCAATGTGAAGACCAACGTCATCCATGAGAGAAAGAATGACACCACCTTCCGTTGTGGCAGACCTATGGGAGCCACCTACGTAGCAATCCCAGCACTGACTGGGCTGAGATGCGGCAAGTGCTTTGCGCACAGCCTGTGATGCACCTCTCTGTGGGGTATGAAAAAGTTTGGAGCTTGCGCTTCAACATTAAGCTGTTGTATGTCAACAGCGTGGTTTGGTCAGTAACAACTTGAAAACTGTTGTATGTCAACAGTTTGTTCAGCATTTGTGAATGCATGCACAAGCTGGTATGTCCAGCACAATTTGGATTTCATGTCAATTTCATTGCTACATGTGTTGCTTGCGCAATTTGACGTTTTTCTTGTTTTTGCGAGAGTGTTGCCACTTACATGTTTGATTTGAGTTTGTGCAACTTGACATTGCCTCCATGTTGATCATGCAATCAATTTTCATGTTATTTGAGACTTTGGTTCAAGATGGCTGGAGTTCAAGACAGTGAAGCCCACTTCGCTTCACGCGCAGCCGAGTATGGAGTGCCATCCGAATTTGTTGGAAGGCTCAAAGCAGAGGGAATCTCAACGCTGGCCCATTTGGCCTTTGCAATCTTTAGGCCAGGCACTGAATTTGAGGAACGCGCATTTACAGATTGGGCCACTGACAGGAACAATGGGATCCCGCTCACCATGGGGGCCGCTGCTGCATTGAGACGTTTGCATTTTGAGAGCGAGGTTGTGATGACAGCTACTATTAGAGCTTCTGTGGAAACACCAGACCCTGGTATTCCAAAAGCAATCCCTTTTGCAGAAAAAGCGGCAAGATTGGATGTCCTGCGCACTAGGTTCAATGGGCTACACATTCATGGTGTTGGGGAGCCATCGCATGCTTTGTTGGATGAAGTTTGTGCACAATTCGAGTCACGCGTCTTGAAGTACATTGAGCCTCAAAGATGCACGAGCAGGGAGCTTGAGATTACCACTGGAAGAACGGATAAAAAGCTCAAGTTGGATGCCGGGACATTAGCTATCAAGGAATCGAAAAGCGTCCCGGACGAAACAATATCCACCACTTTCCACCTTGCTCTATGCCTTAAGAGACGTGGGTTAGCGTATGAATTCGCCAACCTTATCTCTTTTCGAGTGCATGAAATTTATACAGAGCGACTCCTAAGGCACCTCAGCACCGAACCACCTACAGGGTTCCAGGCGACAACTCTTGCCCAGGTCCTTCGTGCCGACAAGGAGGTTTTCAGTGTTCTTGCACAAGGGGTGACTGATATACGCCCTGGCGCTGATGATGTGAAACCTCTGGACGCTGCATTGGAAGCTGCTCTTAAGGAATATACGGTTGCTTTCCATTTGGTGCCTTTGCCGAAATTTGCAGTCAAAGACGAAGTCCAAGCACCTGTGCGGAAGAACTACAATGAGCCTTACCCTACCCAATTTGCAAGCAAGGGTAAGGGCAAAGGCAAAGCTGGCAAAGGTGGGAAGTCATCAGGTTCAAATGCAGCACCAAAGGGATTTCATGGATGCGTGGGACGAGATGCAAAGAACCGTCCTATTTGTTTTGATTACAACATTTCAAGCTGCAACAAGGCACCTGCAGGTGGGAGCTGCCCAAAGGGCAGACATGTGTGTTTCCGTGGCGGATGTTTCAAAGCCCATGCCTTCCGTGAGGCGCATAGCAATGACATGCCAAAAGCTGCAGAGTGACTACAAGGCCCCAAGGCCAATGTGCAGAAGGACTCTCATGCTGTGGTATTAGAGTTATGTTGTGGTACAGCAGGTCTCAGTGCATCGTTTAAACGATTGGGCTTTGATACAATAGCTGTCGACAAACATGTGCCCAAAGCGCCAAAGGCGTCAATTACGAAGCTGGATCTGACACAGTTTTCTACCCAACAGCTTGTGCTCGAATGGATCAGGATGCCACAGGTCAAAGCCGTTTTCATTGCACCTCCTTGCGGAACTGCTAGTAAAGCCAGAACAATTCATTTGGATGATGTTGAAAATTTGCCACAGCCCTTGCGTACAGTGGAACAGCCTGACGGCGTTGACAACTTGGAAGGTTTAGATTTTGTGCGTGTCAGCCAATCCAATGTTTTGTATGATTTTGTTGCTGCTTGCTACGAAGAGTGTTGTGTTTTGGACAAGCTTTTTCTTTGCGAAAATCCAAGAGATTCACTATTTTAGTTGGTCTCACCCTGGGCAGAACGACAATATCAACATATGGCGGTGGAGCAAGGGCATCAAGCATGTGCATACGGCTCCATGCGTCCAAAGTGGACCAAGCTTTCAGGCAACTTTTCCGAAATAGCTGAAATCAACCAAACATGTCCAGGCAATCACAAACATGAACCATGGGGCATGCAGCATGTGAATGGAAGGAGAGTCTTTGCAACAGCTCTGGAAGTGCACTACCCCATGCAGTTGTGCGATGCAATCGCCAACACCATTGCTTTGGCGCTTAGCAAAAAGAATGTTGTGCCTCAGCCCGACCTTTCCATGAATCAAGCAGCACGGGCTTTCTCCAATATGCAACAAGGCACAACCAAGATACCCACATTCCTTCCTGAATTTCGCGCAAAAATTGCTGGTGTTTGGTTGCAACATAGGCAAATTTGACCTCAAAAACCTTTGGATGTTAATGCATGCAAATTGTTGTATGAAATTTCAGTTGGGGCGGACGATATACAACAACTTGGCACGAAACCGACGGAGCAATGCAATTTGAAATGTATGGATGTTTGTTTTGACAATCTGGATCTGTCCAAGACTGCTGCTTTCCCTTGTACGGTGCAATTGAAAATCTTTGGAGTTTATTTTTCGGAAGAAGAGTTTCTGAACGAAGCTATGAAAGCCCAGCATCCACTAGCAGCCGAGCTGGCGCTTCCACATGAGCTCAGGGAAGCCATTCTTTTCAATTTCAATGCAGCTGATCATGAAGTAGTGAAGCACCGGGCGGCCTTCCTTGCAAAGTGGGTGTGTCGGGCGAAACAGCTCAGTTCCGATGAGTGCAGTCTTAAGGATAGAATGGACCCCAAAGCTGCTTCAGCTGTGCACAACAAGCGAATTTTAGTGTTCAAAGAGATGCTGATTGATACTGGTTTTCCTGACTTGGGTGTTGTGGACGAACTAATCACTGGTGCCAGTCTCACTGGGGAGGTTCCGGCTACAGGTATGCTCCCTGGAAAGTTTACTCCGGCAGTTGCTACAGATGCAGAAATACGTGAGGCGGCATTACGCATTAGACCCAAGCTGGACACTGACAATTTGGGATCAGGTGACCCCATTATAGATGCAGAAGTTTGGAGAAAAACGCTTGAGGAAGTGGAAAGGGGTTGGTTGCAGGGTCCGCTGACCCGCAGCAGTGTGCCCGGTGACCAACCCATTTCCAGGCGTTTTGGCTTGTTGCAGAAAAAGGGCAAAGTGCGTCTCATTGACGATTTTTCGGAGTCAGGTGTGAACAGCACAGTAACTTCTGTTGAGTCACCTGTTTTACACACCATTGATGTGGCATGCGCAGTTTTGGCTTTCTGGTTTGGTTTGTGCAATGAGGACGATGTTGATCCCAGGCTTGTGATCCGAACTTTTGATTTAACGAGCGCTTACCGACAGGTAGGACTGTGTCAAGCTGGCCGAGATTTTGCTTGTATTCGAGTTTTTGATCCAAAGGACAAATGCATGAAGTACTTCAGATGCTGCGTGCTGCCATTTGGAGCAACGCGCAGCGTCCACACGTTTTTACGTTTGGCGAGGGCCATATGGTGGATTGGGACTGTAGGTTGCAAGTTAATGTGGACGTCATTTTACGATGACTTCATAACATGCAGCAAGCCAGCCCTATCTGGTTGTGCAGAAAGTACTGTGATTTCACTTTTCCGGCTTTTGGGCTGGGTTTTTGCGGAAGATGGTGACAAATGCCAACCATTTTCAGATTCTTGTGAGGCTCTAGGAGTAGCAATTAATTTGTCAGACTCTGAAAGGGGCCGAGCGACTATATGCAATACAGAGGCTAGGATCCAAGAGCTTTGTTCAGACCTGCAGGCAGTGCTGGATGAAGGTGTTCTCAAATCCAAAGTGGCGCAAAGGCTACGTGGAAGAATGCAATTTGCCGAAAGTCAATTGTTTGGCCGCACAGGCCGCAGGTGTCTTAAAGTTTTGAGTGACTTTGCGGAAGGCAGGAAGTTGAAACTGCAGCCCAAAGACAAGTTCTTTATCAATTTGTTCAAAGAACTACTGCAGAACAACATCCCTAGAGAAGTTTGTGCTCTGGGCAATTGCAACGTGATTGTTTTCACAGATGCATGTTACGAGCGTGATAGCTTGGTTTGGCCTTGCGGTCTTGGCGGAGTATTGTGTGAAGGTGATGATAAGCTTTACTTTTCTTTGGAAGTGCCTGAGTATGTACGGCATGCTTTGGGCGAACTGGTCAAGAAGCAAATCATCTTTGAGGCTGAGACCTTATCAGCCGTAGTAGCCTTCATACTTTGGAAGCGAAGATTTGTGAACAAGCGATGCATTTTATTTGTGGACAATGAGGGTTCCAAGTTTTCTCTCCTCAGAGGGTCTTCTGACAATTCAGTTGTGGATAAGTTAGCTGGTTTCTTTGCAGAACATGAAGCTTCAGTTCATGCTGTCACATGGCTTGCGAGAGTGCCCTCTAAAAGCAATTTGGCCGACCACCCATCTCGCAATGATGTCAGTTTACCTTTCTTCAGGTCTGCAATCGATGTGTCCTCTGAAGCTTCTACAGTTTTGGAACAGCTTGTCTGCAGAATGTTGGAAGTTGGGGAGAAAGGCTGCGTGACAAGCCATAGTGGAAAAAGAAAGAAGCTTTGCTGATCTTTCAATGCACATGTCAGAACGGGTTTGCAGAATAATGTGCATGTCACTTGAGACAAAACCTTATGAATGCAAATGCATGTTATCAAACATGCAACGTTCCTCTCAAGGGAGGGTGGGCGGGTTTCGTCACCTTTTTGACTTTCGAGACCCACCACCGTCCCCATTCACCACCTGGACACAGCTTGCAGCCTAGCCCTTACAGCCTAAGAAAGGCTGCGTGACAAGCCATAGTGGAAAAAGAAAGAAACTTTGCTGATCTTTCAATGCGCATGTCAGAACGGGTTTGCAGAATAACACAAAGATCTTGGGGTTTCCAGCCTCAGATTTGCATAAATTGAGTTGGGAAATGAATGATTGAAGGAGTGTTCCTGCAAACACGTAAGTTTTGTCCCAAACACACCATGCAAATTGGTAATGGCGTTGACATGAAAACAAAGTCGGCTCAGGGCTGTCGACACCATCATCGTCGTAGTCAGTCTAGACTCCCTTTGACTATTCACGTGTTGATGAACCCCCCAAAAAAACAATTTTTTCAAGCAAATTTTCGGTGGTAGTACATGCTTACATGAATCTAATTTCTAATCAACTCCAGGCTCTGTTGGTGCTACATCTTTCTTTATCTGGTTCATCATTGAAAAGTGCACGTTCCTCTAAAAAAAAAATTGGGGAAAATTTTGAATTTCGAAAATATATATGTGTTCAGATCATAGTTGATTGATTTGATGCGTTTGAAAAGAACAACTTTAGCATTTCAAAATTTCTCCTCGCTCTGGCACCCAATGCATCCTGCATTTTCTACGCCAGTTTTCATGTTGCCGTCTTCGTGGGGGAATCATCACGAGCATCGCTTTCTTTACGTCTTAAAAAGTACACCACAGTTAGCATCCATTCCTGGTCCTTCTCGTCATACTTTGAGCGCCAATGTTCTGTGAGGGTGTCGTGAAAAATCCCCACTCTTGCAGGGTTCATGTCTCGAACTTGTTGATCGTCGTCAGCGAAATACTCAGTGTATAAAACATCAGTGTTGATCCAAAACACGCAAAAGTTATAGTGAAACATTGTTGATTAACCCTCTTTTTGTTCAAACATTGAAATTTATCATGCCATCATGCCATCTATTCTTTTGACACCTCTTTCTCATCCGTTTCTGTTGATACATTTTCTCGTGTCATCCATTTATGTTGCCACCCCTGTTTCTTGACATTTGACTCTCTTGACAACTCTTCCCGTCGATGTCAGTTGACATTCTAGACGCACATCACAGGCTGGAAAATAATATCAGGAATCATGCCCTCGGAGGGCAATTCGACGTAATCTATAAACATTGGATTTGAAGCGTTTCCCTTTGTGATGGGTTCCTGATTCCTGAGAACCTGGTATTTTTTTTCTAAATAAATGGGGACCCCGTAGATTACTTGCGTTCCATGTTGTGCTTCAGCCAAAGTCGTCGGATTTTGGACCTTTGGATCTGGGCTCGAAGCCTCGCAGAATCGTCCTGGCCGGTTTCTCCGATTGCGTTTCGTTGGCCGAAACAAAGGATGAAGTGGGATGTTCAGACATTTTCCTTGCAGACTGGTGCCTGCTGGTGCCTGCTGGTTCGCACAATGTTGGTCATTTAGTTCGTCACCAGTTCTTTTGCCTTTGCCTTCTGCACAAGAACTCGCGGCGTCCAATTTATTCAGATGTTGTGGCATTACCCTTTTTGCTCGCAGCAATCCCTTGGGTGACCTTAGCTGAAGCCAAATGTTGTCTGCTTAAACCAAGTGTTGTCTGCTTACAATGTAGAACAATATTTTTTCCCATCCGATGGTAGCCAAAATGCCACCTCCGTACCATTGAAAACCGTATTCGTAAGAGGACCATGAAATTTTCATTTTCGTGTGAGGATTTGAGTGAAATACCAATGGATCTCCTCGTGGGTTCCCCTGCTTCAGAGGCCTGCGATCCGCGATGTCTTTTCGCTTTGCAGCGCAATTGTGGTCCAGGTGGCGGAGACTTTTGGCCGGGTTCTCTTCCAACGGTTGAGTTGAAACAGTAAAAAAAAGTTTCGGAGGAGTAAAAAAACCGATTCCAGTTTTCCAGATGTGTGGTTCCGTTTAGTTTTCCAGATTTCAAATTTACATTTCACCACGATTCAATGTTGACCTGTGGCGACTTGGCACAGGTCTGTGGATTCCATGAATGGCAGGCGGACTATGCAGCCATGCAGTGTTTTTTTCTGTGTTTATTCAACTTGGAAAAAGCAAGAGTTGGAATGTTAAGAGTGATCAGTTCCCCAAAAAAATTTGGGTTTTAATATGTCAGATACATCTGCTTCGCTATCCGGCTTTTCAACCAAACCCATATCCAGAGCACTGTAAAACAACGTGACACCCGGCAGCTTCGTTGTGCAAGGTTGGTCTTGCACCACTTAGAGACTGTCGACCCGGCAGCTTCATCCCATTAACCACAGACGGTTGCGATGGCAGGCTATGAGCGACATTATGGACATTGTCAAAATGAAAGGCCTGGGTTTAGCCTGGCTTGACATGCTTTTGTAACTGGCACATGTCACATGACGTATCTCCGTGATTGGTTCTAAGTCAGAACCGTTCCTTTGCAGATAGCAGTCTCTTGATGTGCAAGTGCACCCAGCCTCACGGCTGCAAGTTGTCACAGCATGTCACAGCTCCCGGCAAGTTGGGAGGCATGGCATGTCAGACCCCCGAAGATCCTGTGGTGAAAATGACTTGCCTTTCGACAATGTCGAGATCTTACCAGGGCCTGCTGAGATGATTCGTACGCCAATCCTATCCCTCCAATGACTCTAATATCAGATTACACCCCAGGAAGGACCCCGACATTAAAAGATCTGAGACATATCATTCCTCTCGGGTTTTGTTTGCGAAGGTTGTCATTTTTGGGTGAAGGTATTACAAGTGACATGTTTCTCGAAGCCAGCTCTGAGGTGGGCCGGCAAAGGCGGCATGGGCACCACTGATTTATGGCAATTTTTATGGCCATAGAATGCCATGGGGAAAAGGATGTTTGGGGCATTCTGTCATTTCAAAGTCTTATTTTCAGTAGACAAATCCATATCCTTTCATGAACGTCTTGGATTTTCCACTTTGGCGCATTTGAATAAGGAAATGACAAGGCTAAGGATCATACAAGATACGATGGCAAAATACAAAGTAAGCTGCTTTGCTTTGCGATCTCATGCGGATGAAGGCATAGAAGCCGTGGGCTTTGCGAAAAACCAGGACTGCATTTGGATGAAAACACGATGGCAAACGCCAAGACTCGGAAATGGATGATTTCAGTCTGGGTATGTCTGGGTTCCCAAAGGTACCCAATGACTTGAGCCATACCGTAGCGCCGTAGAGGTGAGAGGAGCACCCACAGGCCACTTATGATCACTTATGTAGTTAATCAAAAAAAATCTCGACAGCCACCGGCACATGGGTTTTCAAGGTGTTTGTGATTTGTGAATTTTTGTGATTGAGCATGCCAGCTTGGAAGGACGGATTGTGAAAACGCTTTATAGTCAATGTAGAGTCAATGTAGAGGCCGGCGTGGCGTTCAGAAGTCCGATGCAAAATGCGATAAGCCCAAATCAGAGCACTTTCGCAATGCTGATATCGAATAACCCTCCACTGCGTTATTGTGATACCTTGACCCACCAAAAACAACAGGGTTTCTCCGAAAAAGCTTGGTTTTTCATGCAATTGATATACCAAAAACTCAGATTTCTGAAAACCCGGTTTTCCGCGCAATACAATGAAATCAATGCCCGACTCCATCCCAACTATGCTTCTCTCCACAAAATATCGTATCAATGGACACCGATCGAGCGCTCCATCTGCCAAAGGCGAGGATTTGAATGGTTTTGGTTACTATACTAGATTTTCGGGGATCGAGTCATTTTGGAACATGGTTCTGCAATTTTTGAATTTTTGATAGTTTTTGCTGCTTTCCGATCGTGTTTTTTTCCCGAACATGTAGGGTTTGGATGGTTTGGATCGAAAACCCATATTATACCCGTTGAAAATAATCTTCCCATAAAAGCCAAGAACAAGTTCAAATGGCTTTCCCAAACCCACAAAAACATGTAATTTCTCCAATTATTATGGAAAAAACGTAAGCAACTTGTGGACTCTTATGGGCTTTATGGCTGATGTCAGATCGCAGGGCTAGGGGGAATTTTGGCGGCATCCAACTTGAACTCCCGGGACGTCGTGTTACTAGTGCCACAGAAACAAGGGCGATTCTTCGGTACACTATTTTTACTGTTTTTTTTCCCCCTGCCCCGGGGATTTTTTTTCCCGGCTGAGTTCTCGCAGACTGGTGTGCCCAGGAAGCAAGCCAGCAAGCAAGCCAGCAAGCAAGCCACTCAGCCAGCAAGCAAGCAAGCAGGCAAGCAAGGGAGCCAGCGAGCAAACCAAGCAAGCAAGCAAGCAAGCAAGCACGCACGCACGCACGCACGCACGCAAGCACGCACGCACGCACGCACGCACGCAGGCACGCAGGGCACGCAGGCACGCAGGCACGCAGGCAGGCAGGCAGGCAGGCAGGCAAGCAGGCAAGCAGGCAAGCAGGGAGGCAGGCAGGCAGGCAAGCAGGCAAGCAAGCAAGCAGGCACGCACGCAAGCCAGCAAGCCACTCAGCAAGCCACTCAGCAAGCAAGCCTCGCAAGCCACTCAGCAAGCCACTCAGCAAGCCGCCACTCAGCAAGCAGCCACCAGCAAGCCACTCAGCAAGCCGCCAGCAAGCCACTCAGCAAGCCAGCAAGCCAGCAAGCCACTCAGCAAGCCAGCAAGCCACTCAGCAAGCCACTCAGCAAGCCAGCAAGCCACTCAGGAAGCCAGCAAGCCAGCAAGCCACTCAGCAAGCAAGCAAGCAGGCAAGCAAGGGAGCCAGCGAGCAAACCAAGCAAGCAAGCAAGCAAGCAAGCAAGCCAGCCAGCCAGCCAGCCAGCCAGCCAGCCAGCAAGCAAGCAAGCAAGCAAGCAAGGGAGCCAGCGAGCGAGCAAGCAGGCAAGCAAGCAAGCAAGCAAGCCAGCCAGCCAGCCAGCAAGCAAGCAAGCAAGGGAGCCAGCGAGCGAGCAAGCAGGCAAGCCAGCCAGCCAGCAAGCAAGCAAGCAAGCAAGCAAGCAAGGGAGCCAGCGAGCGAGCAAGCAGGCAAGCAAGCAAGCAAGCAAGCCAGCCAGCCAGCAAGCAAGCAAGCAAGCAAGGGAGCCAGCGAGCGAGCAAGCAGGCAAGCAAGCAAGCAAGCAAGCAAGGGAGCAAGCAAGGGAGCAAGCAAGGGAGCCAGCGAGCAAACAATCTTTCTTCGAGGAATTTCTGTCCGAACCGAGGTTGTAACTAGTTACTGGCTTTTTACATATCTATGTATACTTTTGCATTATATTTGCTAGCATAGATGGAGAGAGAGAGGGGGATATTGTAGGCGTCGAAGCTACTAGTAAGTGGAACTCTCCCAAGCGGTTGATAGGCGATAGCCATGATGAACACCTCTCTTTGCCCTTGTGTGCCTGCCATTTCGATAAGGCACCTTAGCCAGCCAACTGTAGGATCAAGCCAATGTCGGGGTTCACCCAGCGAAAGATCAACAGCCAGGGGTAAACACTACTAACATGAACAGCCGATATTCTGGTGAACTATACCATATTTTGGTCGAAAGTCCATGCACAAGCGAATTTCATGTTGACCAAGGTGCCAGGGTTTGGTTCCATAGCCATGTCGTCATCCTATCTTACATGTTCAGATTTTTACGCAACTGCATCAAAGCAGCACCAACTTTACCAATCCACTTGTCATTGTGACCAGACAGTCGTGCGAACACCACCTTTGCAGAGGAGGTGATACAATTGCTGGAAAAATAGGTGCACTATGTAAAGCTTGCACACTTGTAAATAACACTACTCTACATACATGTGTATGTATATATACAAATTTACAGGTAGTCATTTAGATACATATTTGTTGCTTTTTATTTGCGCATATCCAGCCACAACAACAGCAACAACAACCATAACAACAATAAACGCAATAACAACAACAACGATCGCAACAACAAGCATCACAACAACAAACGTCACAACAACAAACATCGCAACAACAAACACAACAAAGAAACAACAACAAACATTACAACAACAGACAGCACAACAACAAACATAACAACAACAAACGTAACAACAACAAACACAACAAAATGGAAGGTTCCAGCTCCCAAATTCTACAAATAGCACGCAAACTGAAAGGGCAAATAACATGATAAATGAATGGAAGGTTCCTGCGCCCAAATGCGGCAAATAGCATGCAAAATAGAAAGTTCCAGCTCCAAAATGCTGCAAATAGCATGCAGCATGGAAGGTTCCAGCTCCCAAATGCTGCAAATAACATGCAAAATGAAAGGTTCCAGCTCCAAAATGCTGCAAATAGCATGCTGCATGGAAGGGAAGTGGCAGGGTAGATGTAGGGGACGGAAAACAGAACAGATCAGGAAAAAAAATCCCCAGGGCAGGGGAAAAAAAAATCCCGGCGCGATCCGGCACCCGATTCTTCAATGCTCCTGCATGCTTTCAAACATATTTTTCCTTTGGGGTGGAATCAGCGACAAAATACATGTGAAGAAAGCGGTTCAGAACTTCATTAGGCCTAGCACGGGGGTCTGTTGCCATATCACGACGCAATCAATGGATCGCTTGATTGCTTTGCTCAAAATCAACCAAAATCCTAAACATTGCCAAGCCCAAAAACGTGTTTTTTTTTTCAAAAACAGTATATGTTTTTCTTTCTAATTCCTAAACCTGTGTGTTTTCGGGTTTGGTTGCTTCAGGTATGTTTTGACACCCCTTGAAGGATTGCGTCACGGAGAACATCACATCGATGGCACAGGCGGTGGGGACCAAAAGAGAGAAGTGTTGTGAATTATATAAATGGTTGCAGGGGCTGATGCATCAAAAGTCTATAAGTAGAGAATTTGTTGCAGCTCTCACACGTGGTGGTACAGGCTGGCGAATCTCGAAGAGAATCAGACCAGCAGGCCGGTGGGATAAACAAGAAGATCGATACCGAAAGTCATGGTCATATGTTAAAGATGTTAGATGTCATAGATGCCATAGATGTTACAGTTGTCGTACATCCACATCGCCCTTTTACCATCCTTGGAAACAAAACCAAAACACAGATGAACACAAAAAATCCGCAAGGGAAACAAATGGAATGATTGGGCGTCGAAATGGGTGAAATGGGTGAAACTTGGGCCTTGGGTCAATGCTGGAAATGGTTCAATAGTGCTATTGCGGTTTCCTGTTATTATCTTGAATTTGAAGTACTCGAATAGCCAATCTTGTGACTTGTGCAATGTTACCAGGGTTGCGTTTTGATGACAACAAAGAGGGTGGCAAATGCCAAGACTGAGGTAGAGAAAGCCAAACATGGTGAGTTGGATGAGGTTGTTTTCTTTGCATGGAATTTTGCATGAAACTTTATTGGAGGAGGACCCTAGTGCATCAAAAGGCTTCTCAGTCTCAGTCATTCAAAAGCATGTCGCTTTGAGGGGCTCGATACCCACCGGGAGCGGCAATTTGTTCCAAAACGGCAATCACAGGAGTTTTCCGGGTGTTTGTGTGATTTGTGTAAATTTATAGATATATATGATGGAGCATGCCAACTTACAAGAACGCATACTGTAACACTTTATAATGTAGAGGCTGGCTTGGCATTCAGAAGTCCGTGCAAAATGCGAGTCTAAATCATGCTGATGTCGAATGACCCTCCACAGCGTTGTTGTGATATGTTTTGACGCCCCTTGGAGGATTGTGCCGCAATCACGGAGAACATGACATCATTGGCTGAGACAAAATCAAAGGTGCGGACCAAAAGACAGAAGTGTTGAGAATCAGATGCTTAAATATGCTTGCTTGCTAGCTTGTGCGCAGGCACGGGTGATGGTGGACTGCAGTCGCGGCCCAAAATGCCTTTGCACTTTGTGTGTGATTGCGATCCATCGCAAGTTGCGAAGCAGATAGCAACTGTAGAAGAAGGAACTACCACTCAAATAAGTTTGTTGCATGGCTGCCTTGGAATGTCAGCGTTTCTTCGCAACATCGCTCTTGAAGGCACGTTGGACTGCGTCGTGGATGGGATGCCAGCACTGAATCATCGCTGCTGCCAGAAGTGAGCAGCTTAGCCGATCCAAATGTGTCGGACGAAGGGTTGCCACGTGTTTGTCATTTGAGCCAAGCTCTGACCTTCTGCCAGGCCCTGTGGAAGTTGCATTGGAAAAAAAACATTATGAGCATCAGCGGCTTGTCCAAGGAGCAGGCTTCTAAACTCAGAAGAATTGGCCACATGTTGGGCATGACAATTTGAGAGTGACTATAGAACACAAAAAGTACATCTATAAATCTATAAGTAGAGAATTTTGTTGCAGCTCTCACGCGTGGTGGTACAGGCTGGCGAATCTCAAAGGGAATCAGACCAGCAGGCCGATGGGAAAAGCAAGGTGAAGACATGGTCACATGCTAAAGATGTTAGATGTCATAGATGCCATAGATGTTACAGTTGTCGGACATCCACATCGCCCTTTTACCATCCTTGGAAACAAAGCCAGAACACAGATGAACACAATAAATCCGCAAGGGAAACAAATGGACGTTGAGGGGCTCGATGCCCACCGGGAGCGGCAATTTGTTCCAAAACGGCAATCACAGGAGTTTTCCGGGTGTTTGTGATTTGTGTAAATTTATAGATATATATGATGGAGCATGCCAACTTACAAGAACACATACTGTAACAATTTATAATGTAGAGGCTGGCTTGGCATTCAGAAGTCCGTGCAAAATGCGAGTCTAAATCATGCTGATGTCGAATGACCCTCCACAGCGTTGTTGTGATATGTTTTGACGCCCCTTGGAGGATTGTGCCGCAATCACGGAGAACATGACATCATTGGCTGAGACAAAATCAAAGGTGCGGACCAAAAGACAGAAGTGTTGAGAATCAGATGCTTAAATATGCTTGCTTGCTAGCTTGTGCGCAGGCACGGGTGATGGTGGACTGCAGTCGCGGCCCAAAATGCCTTTGCACTTTGTGTGTGATTGCGATCCATCGCAAGTTGCGAAGCAGATAGCAACTGTAGAAGAAGGAACTACCACTCAAATAAGTTTGTTGCATGGCTGCCTTGGAATGTCAGCGTTTCTTCGCAACATCGCTCTTGAAGGCACGTTGGACTGCGTCGTGGATGGGATGCCAGCACTGAATCATCGCTGCTGCCAGAAGTGAGCAGCTTAGCCGATCCAAATCAGTCGGACGAAGGGTTGCCACGTGTTTGTCATTTGAGCCAAGCTCTGACCTTCTGCCAGGCCCTGTGGAAGTTGCATTGGAAAAAAAGACATTATGAGCATCAGCGGCTTGTCCAAGGAGCAGGCTTCTAAACTCAGAAGAATTGGCCACATGTTGGGCATGACAATTTGAGAGTGACTATAGAACACAAAAAGTACATCTATAAATCTATAAGTAGAGAATTTTGTTGCAGCTCTCACGCGTGGTGGTACAGGCTGGCGAATCTCAAAGGGAATCAGACCAGCAGGCCGATGAGAAAAGCAAGGTGAAGACATGGTCACATGCTAAAGATGTTAGATGTCATAGATGCCATAGATGTTACAGTTGTCGTACATCCACATCGCCCTTTTACCATCCTTGGAAACAAAGCCAGAACACAGATGAACACAATAAATCCGCAAGGGAAACAAATGGACGTTGAGGGGCTCGATGCCCACCGGGAGCGGCAATTTGTTCCAAAACGGCAATCACAGGAGTTTTCCGGGTGTTTGTGATTTGTGTAAATTTATAGATATATATGATGGAGCATGCCAACTTACAAGAACACATACTGTAACACTTTATAATGTAGAGGCTGGCTTGGCATTCAGAAGTCCGTGCAAAATGCGAGTCTAAATCATGCTGATGTCGAATGACCCTCCACAGCGTTGTTGTGATATGTTTTGACGCCCCTTGGAGGATTGTGCCGCAATCACGGAGAACATGACATCATTGGCTGAGACAAAATCAAAGGTGCGGACCAAAAGACAGAAGTGTTGAGAATCAGATGCTTAAATATGCTTGCTTGCTTGCTAGCTTGTGCGCAGGCACGGGTGATGGTGGACTGCAGTCGCGGCCCAAAATGCCTTCGCACTTTGTGTGTGATTGCGATCCATCGCAAGTTGCGAAGCAGATAGCATCTGTAGAAGAAGGAACTACCACTCAAACAAGTTTGTTGCATGGCTGCCTTGGAATGTCATGGAATGTCAACGTTTCTTCGCAACATCGCTCTTGAAGGCACGTTGGACTGCGTCGTGGATGGGATGCCAGCACTAAATCAGCACTGCTGCCAGAAGTGAGCAGCTTACCCGATCCAGTGGATCTTCGGTTGGAAAAGGTGACATTATGAGCATCACTGCGTCTGAGGCAGAGTTGTGTGAAGGAATACACAAAGAAGACGGGTGGTGGACAGTCGAATCTGCATCTTGGCGAAGTCGCAGCGTACTCCGGCCCCCATCCAACAACCAGCATATCTGAGGACTGTTTTTGTCAACGTTTTGTTTTGGGCACTGCTTCTTTGCCCTGGGTTCAGGCCATCCAGTCACTCTAGTCTTGCAGAATGTGGACAGGTGAGTAAATTCAAATGATTACACGATTGTTGCAGAGATATGGGCTGTTGGGCTCGCAAACTTGGTTGCGCAAAAGTGCGGTATGCAACGGTACAGTATACACCATTCTATGGCCTTTTGATGTCCTTTCCTCAGACTTCCTCGACACTCCAAAGAATGGTGGTTGAACAAAAACATTTATTGCCATCCTCCTTGGTCAGCCAGCATGAAAATAAAGTCCTCTCAGTCTCTTGTTCCTAAAAAAGCACACAAATTCGCTCAAAGTGAACGTTCACCCTCGCGTTGGTCGAATGTTAAAAGAGCTTTGTTTTGAAAACCGACATCTTTTCGTAACTTTTGCACAGTCACACGTTAAGTTCGATGACATTTTGCATGTACAGTATATGTGCATTTGAAATAGCACTGTTTTTTCCTGGCAGAAGTGTCATGTAGACAAAAGACTTGGGAAATCTGGCTGCCAGCGATCTGCTAACACAGAGTTTCCCAAAATGCGCGCTTTGTCCAGTGAGCGTTTAGAACAAAACAAGGGTCATATTTCACGAGAAAGATTCAAAGCCCAAACAAAGTTTCAGAAGTTCCGCAGTCATTTCCTGTAAATTAAGGAATTTGACGCCATCCTCCTTTCTCACCGTTCCATTCGTTGCAACGCAACAGCCTCAACTTTTTGAAAATGGCGACGTGAAACGACAAAGAAAGGGGGTTATGGGAACCAATTTTTGAGCTGAGGTTGGAAGGTCGACGCTTCTATACCTTATATCAACTGAGGGATTTTGAAAAATTCGCCCCGTTTTCAGACAAACACAAATCATGTTCATTCCCTTGGAATGGTCAGGCGTCCCTCTGTTTGCCAACCTTTATCAGCCAGCCTTTGCTGATTGAAGTTTGGAACCACTTCCGAATCCACTTCGATACGAGGTTCGGATGTGATACATGGTGGCTGTGGTTGGTGATTTCGATCTGTGTAGTGCAGGTGCGGTGCAGCGAGAGAAAAGGATGATCGAACTTTGAATTTAGGATTAAGGAAATCACATTTTTTTGGACAAACCTCTGTTCAAATGAAGAGCACAATTACACCGGCATAGACCCCAGATAGAAAAGGTTGGAACTGATGGTTCCCAACGTGGGAACCAAAGGTTTTACCATGACAAGGAACTGCCGGTTCCCAGACCTTGAAACTTACGGTTCCCAACCTGGGAACCAGAGGTTACCATTGCAAGGAATTGCCGGTTCCCAGAAGTTAGAATTTGTGTTTTCGAAGCTAAGCAACTATCATTGAAAGGAGCTGCGGATTCCCAAAGTTTGAAATTCATGGTTCCAAGCCTGAAAAAGCATACGTTACCAGTGGAAGGATCTGTTGATTCCCAAAAAAAATCATGGTTCTTAATGTTGTTTTTTTGTTTACTGAGCCGGCAACAGAACCTTTTGTTTTTCTTAATGGACCGGTAGCGGAATGTTTGCGTTTGGCTGTTGGGCCGGCACAAAAATGTTTTTTGCACGAAAAAGGTGCATGTTAAAATGATATGAAAACAGTTTCTTTACAATTTTATGGCTTTGCTTAATGGACCGGTAAGGAACGCGTTGTTTTGCTTAATGGACCGGTACCGGAATGTTTGCGTTTGGTTCATGGCAAGGAACTGCCGGTTCCCAAAGGTTGGAACTCACGGTTGCCAACGTGGGAACCACAGGTTACCATTGCAAGGAACTGCCGGTTCCCACAGGTTAGAAGTCATGGTTCCCAACCTGGGAACCAGAGGTTACCATTGCAAGCAACTGCCGGTTCCCAGAGGTTGGAACTCATGCTTCCCAACCTGGGAACCATAGGTTACCATTGCAAAGAACTTCCGGTTCCTAAAGGTTGGAACTGATGGTTCCCAACGTGGGAACCAAAGGTTACCATGGCAAGGAACTGCCGGTTTCCCAGACCTTGAAACTTACGGTTCCCAACCTGGGAACCAGAGGTTACCATTGCAAGGAATTGCCGGTTCCCAGAAGTTAGAATTTATGTTTTCGAAGCTAAGCGGCTTTCATTGTAAGGAACTGCGGGTTCCCAAAGCTTGAAACTCATGGTTCCAAGCCTGAAAAAGTAACGTTACCAGTGGAAGAATCTGTTAATTGCAAAAAGTTAGAACTCATGGTTCTTAATGTTGTTTTGTTTTATTTACTGAGCCGGTAACAGAACCTTTTGTTTTGCTTAATGGACCGGTAGCGGAATGTTTGCCTTTGGCTGTTAGGCCGGCACAAAAATGTTTTTGCACGAAAAAGGTGCATGTTAAAATGATATGAAAACAGTTTCTTTACAACTTTATGGCTTTGCTTAATGGACCGGTAAAGAACGCTTTGTTTTGCTTAATGGACCGGTACCGGAATGTTTGCGTTTGGTTCATGGCAAGGAACTGCCGGTTCCCAAAGGTTGGAACTCACGGTTACCAACGTGGGAACCACAGGTTACCATTGCAAGGAACTGCCGGTTCCCAGAGGTTGGAACTCCTGGTTCCCAACCTGGGAACCATGGGTTACCATTGCAAGCAACTGCCGGTTACCAGAGGTTGGAACTCATGCTTCCCAACCTGGGAACCATAGGTTACCATTGCAAAGCACTTCCGGTTCCTAAAGGTTGGAACTGATGGTTCCCAACGTTGGTTCCCAAAGGTTACCATGGCAAGGAACTGCCGGTTTCCCCAGACCTTGAAACTTACGGTTCCCAACCTGGGAACCAGAGGTTACCATTGCAGGGAATTGCCGGTTCCCAGAAGTTAGAATTTATGTTTTCGAAGCTAAGCGGCTTTCATTGTAAGGAGCTGCGGATTCCCAAAGCTTGAAACTCATGGTTCCAAGCCTGAAAAAGTAACGTTACCAGTGGAAGAATCTGTTAATTGCAAAAAGTTAGAACTCATGGTTCTTAATGTTGTTTTGTTTTATTTACTGAGCCGGTAACAGAACCTTTTGTTTTGCTTAATGGACCGGTAGCGGAATGTTTGCCTTTGGCTGTTGGGCCGGCATAAAAATGTTTTTGCACGAAAAAGGTGCATGTTAAAATGATATGAAAACAGTTTCTTTACAATTTTATGGTTTTGCTTAATGGACCGGTAAAGAACGCTTTGTTTTTATCTTAATGGACCGGTACCGGCATGTTTGCGTTTGGTTCATGGCGAGGAACTGCCGGTTTCCAAAGGTTGGAACTCACGGTTGCCAACGTGGGAACCACAGGTTACCATTGCAAGGAACTGCCGATTCCCACAGGTTAGAAGTCATGGTTCCCAACCTGGGAACCAGAGGTTACCATTGCAAGCAACTGCCGGTTCCCAGAGGTTGGAACTCATGCTTCCCAACCTGGGAACCATAGGTTACCATTGCAAAGAACTTCCAATTCCTAAAGGTTGGAACTGATGGTTCCCAACGTGGGAACCAAAGGTTACCATGGCAAGGAACTGCCGGTTCCCAGACCTTGAAACTTACGGTTCCCAACCTGGGAACCAGAGGTTACCATTGCAAGGAATTGCCGGTTCCCAGATGTTAGAACTTATGTTTTCGAAGCTAAGCAACTATCATTGTAAGGAGTTGCCGGTTGCGAAAGATTGAAACTCATGGTTCCAAACCTGAAAAAGCATACGTTGCCAGTGGAAGGATCTGTTGATTCCAAAAAGTTAGAACTCATGGTTCTTAATGTTGTTTTGTTTTATTTACTGAGCCGGTAACAGAACCTTTTGTTTTGCTTAATGGACCGGTAGCGGAATGTTTGCGTTCGGATGCTGGGCCGGCATAAAAATGTTTTTGCACGAAAAAAATGCATGTTAAAATGATATGAAAACATTTTAATTTCTTTACAACTTTATGGTTTTGCTTAATGGACCGGTACCAGAATTTTTCCGTTTGGTTCATGGCAAGGAACTGCCGGGTCCCAAAGGTTGGAACTCACGGTTGCCAACGTGGGAACCACAGGTTACCATTGCAAGGAGCTGCCGGTTCCCACAGGTTAGAAGTCATGGTTCCCAACCTGGGAACCAAAGGTTACCATTGCAAGCAACTGCCGGTTCCCAGAAGTTGGAACTCATGCTTCCCAACCTGGGAACCATAGGTTACCATTGCAAAGCACTTCCGGTTCCTAAAGGTTGGAACTGATGGTTCCCAACGTGGGAACCAAAGGTTACCATGGCAAGGAACTGCCGGTTTCCAGACCTTGAAACTTACGGTTCCCAACCTGGGAACCAGAGGTTACCATTGCAAGGAATTGCCGGTTCCCAGAAGTTAGAATTTATGTTTTCGAAGCTAAGCGGCTTTCATTGTAAGGAGCTGCGGGTTCCCAAAGCTTGAAACTCATGGTTCCAAGCCTGAAAAAGTAACGTTACCAGTGGAAAGATCTGTTGATTGCAAAAAGTTAGAACTCATGGTTCTTAATGTTGTGTTGTTTTGTTTACTGGGCCGGTAACAGAACCTTTTGTTTTGCTTAATGGACCGGTAGCGGAATGTTTGCGTTTGGCTGTTGGGCCGGCATAAAAATGTTTTTGCACCAAAAAAAATGCATGTTAAAATGATATGAAAACATTTTAATTTCTTTACAACTTTATGGTTTTGCTTAATGGACCGGTAAAGAACGCTTTGTTTTGCTTAATGGACCGGTACCGGAATGTTTGCGTTTGGTTCATGGCAAGGAACTGCCGGTTTCCAAAGGTTGGAACTCGGAACCACAGGTTCCATTGCTAGGAACTGCCGGTTCCCAGAGGTTGGAACTCCTGGTTCGCAACCTGGGAACCCTGGGTTACCATTGCAAGCAAATTCCTGGTACCAGAGGCTGGAACTCATGCTTCCCAACCTGGGAACCATAGGTTACCATTGCAAAGAACTTCCGTTTCCTAAAGGTTGGAACTGATGGTTCCCAACGTGGGAACCAAAGCACAGCACGCTGCACAGCACCCTGCACAGCAACCTGCACAGCACCCTGCACAGCACCTTTCACAGCACCCTTCACAGCACCCTGCACAGCACCTTTGCCAGACTTCGCCACCGCACTCTGGACAACACCCTGCAGAGCACCCTGCACAGCACCTTTGCGAGACTTCGCCACCGCAGTCTGGACAACACCCTGCACAGCACCCTGCACAGCACCCTGCACAGCACCCTGCACAGCAGCCTGCACAGCACCTTGCACAGCACCTGCCAGACTTCGCCACCGCAGTCTGGACAGCACCCTGCACAGCACCCCTGCACAGCACCTTTGCCAGACTTCGCCACCGCAGTCTGTCAGCACCCTGCACAGCACCCCTGAGCTTTGCCAGACTTCGCCACAGCAGACTGGACAGCACTTTAGTCTGGACAGCACCCTGCGCACAGCACCCTGCACAGCACCTTTGCCAGACTTCGCCACCGGAGTGTGGACAGCACCCTGCACAGCACCTTTGCCAGACTTCGCCACCGCAGTCTGGACAGCACCCTGCACAGCACCCTGCACACCAGCTTTGCCAGACTTCGCCACCGCAGTCTGGACAGCACCCTGCACAGCACCCTGCACAGCACCTTGCACAGCACACTGCGCCACCTTTGCCACCGCACTTGCACAGCACCTTTGCCAGACTTCGCCACCGCAGTCTGGACAGCACCCTGCACAGCACCCTGCACAGCACCTTTGCCAGACTTCGCCACCGCAGTCTGGACAACACCCTGCACAGCACCCTGCACAGCACCTTTGCCAGACTTCGCCACCGCAGTCTGACAGCCCCTGCACAGCACCCTGCACAGCACCCTGCACAGCACCTTTGCCAGACAGCAGTCTGCACAGCACCCTGCACAGCACCCTGCACAGCACCTGCACAGCACCCTTTGCCAGACTTCGCCACCGCAGTCTGGACAGCACAGCACCTGCACAGCACCCTGCACAGCACCTTTGCCAGACTTCGCCACCGCAGTCTGGACAGCACCCTGCACAGCACCCTGCACAGCACCTTTGCCAGACTTCGCCACCGCAGTCTGGACAGCACCCGCAGCCAGACTTCGCCACCGCAGTCTGGACAACACCCTGCACAGCACCCTGCACAGCACCTTGCCAGACTTCGCCACCGCAGTCTGACAGCACCCTGCACAGCACCCTGCACAGCACCTGCCAGCTTCGCCAGTTGGACAGACACAGCACCCTGCACAGCACCTGCACAGCACCTTTGCCAGACTTCGCCACCGCAGTCTGGACAGCACCCTGCACAGCACCCTGCACAGCACCTTTGCCAGACTTCGCCACCGCAGTACAGCACCCTGCACAGCACCCTGCACAGCACCCTGCACAGCACCCTGCACAGCACCCTGCTCAAAAGTTCGCCACCGGAGACCCCACCTTAGAGAAGTAAGAACCCCTATAGCTTGCCAGCTATCTGGGGAACAATAAAAATTGATCTCGACGGAACCGTTTTTAGTCCTCAATTGATCCTGGCATTTTGACAGCAGGACCTGGTCAATGGGATATGTATGACATTGTACCCCCAATCCTGTGAGCAAAGTCCCATGACCCCCAATCCTGTGAGCAATGTCCCATACCCCATACAGCTGGTTAGTAGGGGACTAGTTTTTTTTTGCCTACTCCCTGAAGGTGATAAACACGCGAATCTTGGTAAACCATCATCCAATATCAAGATCAAATCAATGAGTTTATCCCCATCAATAACAATCATATTATTTAAGATCCAATATCGTCGAATATCGTCCATAGTAATCCAACACCAAATACCCCCCAAAATCAATTTGTATGGGTCTCGTACTGGGATGGTGTGCCCAATGGTCGCTCTATGGCGCCATGGCAGGGCTGTTGGAAGTGGACTAACGGAGGTTCTGTGCATCTTGGTAGAGTTTCTGCGGAAGCATCCTGAGCTTCAAAATTTGTCTTCAAAAGTCTCAGTAGAATTTCTGAATTTCTGGGACAATTTTGAGACACTGGTCTTTGTTGCGTTTTTCAAATTTTTTCATAGCAATTGAAGACGTGCGTGCTTGTTTTGTACGAAGATCTAGACGGGAGCATTTCTGTGATGTAAAGTGTACCTATGGCAGAATTGAGTACGATGTGTTGCAAGCCGTCCGCTGAAAATTGTGCTTACAAAGACATAAATTTGCATTTCCTTTTCAGTTATGTAAGGTGCACCCAACTTCTTCCAGCGCTTGTTGCGAACGCAAACTGTTGAGATGACTTGTTCATCTTTGGTCCCTAAACTGGCGTTGCATTTTGCCTCATTTTGACGTATGTCGATGGTGCTCAAATTCCCCCAAATATGTGGATTCAAAAAAACAATCTTTCAAACCATCAATCTTTGGTGCTACAAACCACATTCCCAGTGATTTGAATCGGCAAGATCCACATTTCTGGTGGATCATTCGATTCCACCTTCCAGAAATCATCTTCCACTTCATTTTCATCGTGAAATTGGACCACCGAGGCCGTGGGGTCGTGGCTGGCTGACCATGGCGTCGCTTGTGGCAGTGGCTGAGGTTGGACGGTTGGATTTTGAGAATGGGGATGTAATGAACAACAACTTTTGGGTATACAGTTAAGATCATTTAAGATCTGTTAAGACTAACAAAATTTGGCAATTTCACCAACAAAGTTGGGGATTCCACCTGCAAGAGTGGTTACATGGAACAACCAATGATGCGGTTGGTGGTTTCATATTCCAGCTCCAATTTTCCCATCATTGTCTGATGATTCCAATTGACACTTCTTTTGACATGGCTTGAAACCAGCAACCTGCTTTGAGAGTTGCTGTCTCTGGCGCAGGGCTTTGCAGATACGTGGTATGAGCTGTCTCCCACCGGAGGTCTTTCGGTTAACTATCATTACGCAGGGGCATCCGTGTGGAGTACCACTGATAACCGAATGTATGTCTTCGGAGGGTACACCGGCAGCAGGGTCCTCAGCGATCGATGCATCATGTTCGCCTTGTCTTCTCAATCTCAGGCCCAGTTATGATAATCACAAGCATCTCGCACAGGCTGACCTTTTGTTTCATCTCTGAGGTTACCTCAACGCTCTCATGGCCTATGATCCCCAGGCATTCTTGGTGTTCCTTTCACATTCCTTTCGCAGCAGAGAGAAGAAGTGCTTGAGGGTTTCGATGTTCTGGATGGAACTTAGTCTTGAAAGAGGCGCAGTCCCACGTTTGTGCAGGCCAATGCATGGGAAACAATCTCTCCCAGCAGTGGGACTGCACCCTCAGCTCGCACATACCACACTGGCGTGTGGGATGCGACCAACGGCCGAATGTGGATTTTTGGCGGCAGCGACGGTCCCCTTCTCAGCGTCGTTCAGCATGCGCACTTGGTGGTAACATGTCAAAAATTGGGTTGGTGCAGGTAATTTGAAGAAATGAGGCTCCAGCTACAATGATCTACACTATTATGACGTGCAGGCGCTCTTTTTTGGTTGATGACCGGGATTGGAATGTTGAGATGTTGTGAAGAGCAGGGAGTCCTCTAGGTTGTCCCGCTGCGAAATGCAGTTTTCATGTGTAGATCATCGCTATTTGCCATATGCGCTGTGCTGCGGTTCTGCCATTGATACCTATGCGTTGTCAAGACATGTCACGACATGTTCACGATGAAGTACCAGTCCTTTTGCTTTCTTATTTCCCGAGAGCGTTTGAGCACAGGGTTCTTCCAATAGTGGGGGTCTGCAAAACATCTTCTCATCGTCGCACCTTCACACCTTCACACCTTCTCATCTTCACATCTTCTCATCCTCATCCTCTCTTCTTCACATCTGCTCATCTTCACATCTTCTCATCCTCACATCTTCACATCCTCACATCTTCACATCTGCTCATCTTCACATCTGCTCATCTTCACATCTTCTCATCCTCATCCTCTCTTCTTCACATCTGCTCATCTTCACATCTTCACATCTTCTCATCTCCACATCCTCACATCTTCACATTTTCTCCTCTTGCCCTCTTGCCCTCTTGCCCTCTCCTTCTTTTCTATTTCTCTCTTGAAGGCGCGGGGCAGTGTCAATGAGACGGCACGAAAAGGCAACCCTTTCGCACGAAATGAGGTTCGATCCCCCAAAACTGAAGTAAAATTGCGATTTCAAGTCGTCCCGTGCAACACTTTCGCACGAAATGAGGTTCGATCGCCAAGAACTGACGTAAAATTGCGATTTGCAGTGGTCTGGCGCAACCCTTTCGCACGAAATGAGGTTCGATCGGGAAAAACTGAAGTAGAATTGCGATTTGCAAGTGGTCTGGCGCAACTTTTCGCACCAAATGAGGTTCGATCGCCAAGAGCTGAAGTAAAATTGTGATTTCCGGGTTCTCGTCGCAACGCTTTCGCACCAAATGAGGTTCGATCGCCCAAAACTGAGGAAAAATTGTGATTTCTCTTGTCCAATCACACCCGTTTTGCACGAAATGAGGTTCGATCGCCAAAAACATTTCTCTTGTCCAATCGCAACCCTTTTGCACAAAATGAGGTTCGGTCGCCAAAAACTGAGGTAAAATTGCGATTTCCAAGTTGTCCCGCGAAGTGTGTAAAAGCTTCTGTGCGTAAACGAGTCTGTGTGTTTAAAAGCATCTGTGTGTAAAGAACCAATGTGCATTGATTCTGATAGTTTGGTCTTTGAAAACGATATTTTCATTTTGTGTGCCATGAAAAGTAAAAAGCAAAACATTTTTAGAGTTGTTTAAATGACATGATGGCTTTGAACTGCACCTTGTATCATTAAGAGTTAAAGAAGGGGGTATGTGATATATTAACATAAAGCTAATATTTTGAGGACTATATTGCTAAATTTCGTAATTAAGGTCTTTTAGCCCCAAGTTCAGGTTCACTGGGAATTTTATCGTTTTGCAGCTGTCCAAAGGGCGTTGCATACCTGGATCCTGAAATCATCAATTAGAGGGATTAATATTGAAGTTTATATAAGCATCCAGAAACAAGTTTGCAGGGCGCACTGGTGCTAACAATATGGTAGACATCCCTCAAGCGACACGAGGGCATCACTCTGATTTTCAAGTGGTTCTCTTGTCTCACCATGAGATCAAAAAGGAACATTCCGTCCTAATTTGGAGTTGTTCCTTCCCAAAGCGGACGGTCACAGCTCCGGAACTTTAACTCCCAAAAAAAGTTAAAGTTCCAGCCCTTCCGGAACTTTAACTCCCAAAAAAGTTAAAGTTCCAGCCCTTCCAGAAATTTAACTCCCCAAAAAAATTAAAGTTCCAGCCCTTCCGGAACTTTAACTCCCAAGAAAAGTTAAAGTTCCAGTTCTTCCGGAAATTTAACTCCCAACAAAAGTTAAAAAGTTCAAGCCCTTCCGGACCTTTAACTCACAAAAAAAGTTAAAGCTCCAGCCGCGCTGGAACTTTAACTCCCCAAAAAAGTTAAAGTTCCAGTTTTTCCGGAACTTTAACTCCCTTTCCAGCCCTTCCGGAACTTTAACTCCCAGAAAAAGTTACAGTTCCAGCTTTCGGAACTTTAACTCCCAACAAAAAGTTAAAGTTCCAGCCCTTCCGGAACTTTAACTCCCAAAAACAGTTAAAGTTCCAGCCCTTCCGGAACTTGAACTCCCAAAAAAAGTTAAAAGTTCCAGCCCTTCCGGAACTTTAACTCCCCAAAAAAGTCAAAGTTCCAGCCCTTCCGGAACTTTAACTCCCAGAAAAAGTTAAAGTTCCAGCCCTTTCGGAACTTTAACTCCCAACAAAAGTTAAAGTTCCAGCCCTTCCGGAACTTCAACTCCCAAAAACAATTAAAGTTCCAGCCCTTCCGGAACTTTAACTCCCAAAAAAAGTTAAAATTCCAGCCCTTCCGGAACTTGATTTCCCAAAAAAAGTGAAAGTTCCAGCCCTTCCGGAACTTTAACTCCCAAAAAAAGTTAAAGTTCCAGCCCTTCCGGAACTTTAACTTCCCAAAATAAGTGTCGTTCCAGCCCTTCCGGAGCTTTAACCTCCAAAAAAAGTTAAAGTTCCAGCCCTTCCGGAATTTTAACTCCCCAAAAAAGTTAAAGTTCCAGCCGCTCCGGAACTTTAACTCCCGAAAAAAGTTAAAGTTCCAGCCGCTCCGGAACTTTAACTCCCAAAAAAAGTTAAAGTTCCAGTCTTTCCGGAACTTTAACTCTTTTTCCAGCCCTTCCGGAACTTTAACTCCCAGAAAAAGTTAAAGCTCCAGCTTTCGGAACTTTAACTCCCAAAAAAAGTTAAAGTTCCAGCCTCTCCGGAACTTTAACTTCCCAAAAAAGGCAAAGTTCCAGCCCTTCCGGAACTTTAACTCCGTAAAAAAGTTAAAGTTCCAGCCCTTCCGGAACTTTAACTCCCAAAAAAAGTGAAAGTTCCAGCCCTTCCGGAACTTTAACTCCCCAAAAAAGTGAAAGTTCCAGCCCTTCCGGAACTTTAACTCCCCCAAAAAAGTTAAAGTTCCAGCCCTTCCGGAACTTTAACTCCCAAAAAAAGTTAAAGTTCCAGCCCTTCCGGATTTTTAACTCCCAAAAAAAGTTAAAAGTTCCAGCCCTTCCGGAACTTTGACTCCCAAAAAAAGGCCGGAACTTTAACTCCCAAAAAAAGTTAAAGTTCCAACCCTCCCGGAACTTTAACTCCCAAAAGAAAACAAAGTTCCAGCCCTTCCGGAACTTTAACTCCCAAAAAAAAGTTAAAGTTCCAGTTCTTCCGGAACTTTAACTTCCAAAAAAAAGGTACAGTTCCAGTTTTCCTGGAACTTTAACTCCCAAAAACAGTTAAAGTTCCAGCCCTTCCGGAACTTGAACTCCCAGAAAAAGTTAAAGTTCCAGCCCTTCCGGAACTTTAACTCCCAAAAAGTTAAAGTTCACGCCGCTCCGGAACTTTAACTCCCAGAAAAAGTTAAAAGTTCCAGCCCTCCCCGAACTTTAACTCCCAAAAAAAGTTAAAGTTCCAGCCCTTCCGGATTTTTAACTCCCAAAAAAAGTTAAAGTTCCAGCCCTTTCGGAACTTTAACTCCTAAAAAAAGTTAAAAAGTTCCAGCCCTTCCGGAACTTTGACTCCCAAAGAAAGGCCGGAACTTTAACTCCCAAAAAAAGTTAAAGTTCCAACCCCCCCGGAACTTTAACTCCCAAAAGAAGTCAAAGTTCCAGCCCTTCCGGAACTTTAACTCCCAAAAAAAAGTTAAAGTTCCAGTTCTTCCGGAACTTTAACTTCCAAAAAAAAGGTACAGTTCCAGTTTTCCTGGAACTTTAACTTCCAAAAACAGTTAAAGTTCCAGCCCTTCCGGAACTTGAACTCCCAGAAAAAGTTCAAGTTCCAGCCCTTCCGGAACTTTAACTCCCAAAAAAGTTAAAGTTCACGCCGCTCCGGAACTTTAACTCCCAGAAAAAGTTAAAGTTCCAGCCCTCCCGGAACTTTAACTCCCAAAAAAAGTTAAAGTTCCAGCCCTTCCGGAACTTTAACTTCCCAAAAGAACCAAAGTTCCAGCCCTTCCGGAATTTTAACTCCCAAAAATAGTTAAAGTTCCAGCCCTTCCGGAACTTTAACTCCCAAAAAAGTTAAAGTGCTAGCCCTTCCGGAACTTTAACTCCCAAAAAGGTTAAAGCTCCAGTTCTTCCGGAACTTTAACTCCCCAATAAAGATCAAAGTTCAGTTTTTCTGGAACTTTGACTCCCAAAAAAAGTTAAAGTTCCAACCCTTCCGGAACTTTGACTCCCAAAAAAAGTTAAAGTTCCAGCCCTTCCGGAACTTTAACCCCCAAAAAAGTTAAAGTTCCAGTCTTTCCGGAACTTTAACTCCCCAAAAAACGTTAAAGTTCCAGCCGCTCCGGAACTTTAACTCCCAAAAAAGTCAAAGTTCCAGCCCTTCCGGAACTTTAACTCCGTAAAAAAGTTAAAGTTCCAGCCCTTCCGGAACTTTAACTTTCCCAAAAAACCAAAGTTCCAGGCCTTCCGGAACTTTAACCCCCTGAAAAAGTTAAAGTTCCAGCCCTTCCAGAACTTTAACTCCCAAAAAAAGTTAAAGTTCCAGTCCTGCCCGAACTGTATATAACTCCCAAAAAAAGTTAAAGTTCCAGTTTTTCTGGAGCTCTACCTCCCAAAAGACAGTCAAAGTTCCTGTTTTTCCGGAATTTTACTTCTCCCCCTCAAAAAAAACATGCTTCAGTTTCCGCCGAAATAGCTGAAATTTTGGAAAAATAGTTAAACGTCAAGTTAGACAAAACTTCCCTGTAACTCCCCTTTAAAGACTGCAAAAAACGAAACATGCTGAAATGAAATGAAAATCCCGAAATAATCGTTAAAATCCCAAAATAAAAGTTAAAATCCCGAAATAAAAGTTAAAATTCCAGAAAAAATTTAAAGTTCCAGACGTTCTGGAACTTTAGCATCTTTCCTGGGATTTTAACTTTTATTTCGGGATTTTAACTTCTATTTTGGGATTTTAAGTTTTATTTCGGAATTTTG